GGCTATATAAAATTGGTAGCGCTATACTGCTAACTGTTCAGTACACAGTCTCTATCTCAGCAAGTGAGCATTATCGAGCTGGTGAGAGGATTGTACAGTATGTGAAAATCAATAGCAATGAAGGAGAGTAAACATGTGCAGATGTCTGTAAGTGTGGTGGAGTACAGTTTAGCCTGAGATCTGGCCCATCCATCTCTGTATCAGCAAGTTAACTCAACACCATCCTCAGAGATGCTTTACATCACAGCCTGTGCCTCATTATGCTAGCACATGGGTCCTGTTGAAAGAGACATACTTTAAATGTTCCCTGTCTAGACCCTCACAAAAGTTCTGCTCCAGCAGCCACTTCATTATTCATTGCTAAATGAGTTTAGTGGTGATTTCCTCAAGACGAGCTCTTTTACAGCTTTTATTGTATGTGTTTTCTTAAAGACAAATTAAGTATAATGAGATTGAAGCTCTAATAATAAATGTCTCTGGTCTTGGTCTGTTTTTCAGAATTGCTCACGAATCAGCAATGCTTATTATTATTTGAATTACAAAATGTTTTCATAGTCTCTCATTTACATACAATATCTTCGTCTTCCACTGAAACAACTTTTATGATGATGTAACTGTTTAGTCAGTGAAACATATTATCAACCAATTATCACTTTTAAAAATCCATTCAAATCTCGTTGGCTTACAATCAAGCTAATCATGCATTATTTCTGGCTGAATATTAATTAATTAATTATTATTATTATTATTATTATTATTATTATTATTTGTCATTAAAAAGTTTGGGGTCAGTAAGATTTATTTTTTTTTTAAAGAAATTAATATTTGTATTTAGCAAGAATGCAATAAATTGATCAAAAGTGACAGTAAATACTTTTATAATGTACTAATGTACTTTTAAACTATACTTGTTTTCTTTATAAAAAAAGATCCTCTAACACTAGCATTCTCTATTCTTTTTCTATTCTGTCTTCTTGTTTTCTTTTTATTTATTATAAAAAAGGACCCTCTAACACTAGCACTCCCTATTCTTTTTCTATTGTATCTACTTGTTGTTGTTTTTTAAATTTATAATTAAAAAAAACCTTGCTACGTGTACTGTGTTAGGCAAACCGAAACTTGTCACAGCACTTACATATTATTGCCCTTTTGTTGGTTTTGATTGCTTCTATTGTCCTCAGTTGTAAGTCGCCTTGGATAAAAACATCTGCTAAATGACTAAATGTAAATGTAATAATGTTACAAAAGATTTCTATATATTAAAATAGATTTAAATTTATTTGAAATTGTAGTAATATTTCATGACATTACTTACTGCATTTTTGAGAAAATTCTTTCCAAAACTTAAAAAATATATATATCTTACCAACCCCAGACCTTTGGATGGTATTGTACCTCTGTTATTATTTTATTTCACCTAGAAATACGTCATGTTACAGTAGTTAAATGTGTTGCGAATATTGCGTCATTTCGTCTTCAAGCCACAGAAGCTGGTGGCTGTCCAGACCTTACAGTTACAGCTTTCTTTTTACATAGTTCATTCAACCCACATTCTCTTACTCTTCCATTCATTCTCTCCTCCTGCCTCCATGTCAGACCTGCTGTAATACTGCACAACACAATCTTTCATTCAGCCTCCATCTATTCCTTTGCCATTACAATATCCTGCAATCTGCTTCCCCCAACCCCCATTCATGCTCTACTCAGGCCACCTCTGTGCTCTGCACCAGTCCACACTTCCATATCCCTGTCTCCAAACCACCAACAGACCTGATTACAGGAAGCCTATTTAGATATGATGTATTGTCAGCCGCGGGGCGGCTTTGAATCATTCTGTCACATTCGACTGTTTTTGTTGTTCTTTCCTTTGCCGATAGCTGCGGTCTGTTCTCCATCATGCTCCAGGATTGTTTAAACTTTTTTTTCTCATCTTGCTCTTTAAGTAAACAGCCAGTCAATCACAGTGCAGCGTGAGCGACTGTGCATCCAGGCGGTCATAGCTGCTGAGAGAATCAAGGCTAATGCTGCCTCTCAATCAGAGAGTCGTTGAGCCCTGCTGTGTCTCCCCGCATGAAGTCTGCTGTTATTAGCCAATGTCAACAGCTTTTTAATGAAGTTACTGCTTATTGTAACAGTAAACATGACAATTTACAGAGTTGGTTGGGATGCAGCCTGGCTTTTTACAAATAACTTCTTTCTTTACAATGCATGTTTCAGGCTTCATGTCAAAACCAGATACTGGGCCAGCATTTGCTTGTTCTCATAAAGCTGTAGATCCCACCTGCCATTGGATGTTGTATCGAGAGGCATTGATGTACAGTCAGAGCTGCCCCTGTTTCCCGGTAGAGGAGGGCCAGGCTGGGCACAGCTTGTGTTCTGGGCTCCAGGGGTCTGGTTCTGTCTGGACCCTTGGCCATCTGAATCCACTCCACTGCACTCAGAGGCTGGCCACAGTCTGTCCTCTCAGCTGTGGAGCTGATGGGAGCCGGGTGAACTCCCTCATGAAATGTCCAGGCTACAAACAGGGCAAACAGAAGGGAGGCCGGAAGAGAGAGAGACACTTTTTTTAACCCCTGTCTTCAGCAGGACAATTAACTGAGGGCAAGAGGACTCCAGTCCTAAATTGCTATTTTTTTATGCTCCTTCTCGGTTCTGTTCGAGATTTGATGCTTCAGGCAAAAGAAAGGTAGTCAGTCTATCGAGAGAGAATAAGAGAGGGGGAAAGTGCGTGTGAAGAGTGAATAACTGTTAGAGGGACTATTGGGTATCTTATGTCACATACCCAAATCATTTTATTACAGTATTTGAGTATTAAAGTCAGATCTTGGCCTCTTCATCGACTTCCTTCTAATGTGGAATACATTATATTCAATTTGTGCTTTGTCTTTGCTCATTTTAAGTGCTGATAGTTGTTTAAGTGTGCTAAAGTTAAAGGGTAGACAACATGGATCACCATTTTGCTTATTTGAATCAAGCAATTATCACATAAGTGAGAGAAAATATGAGAAATTTTGACATATTCAACACTTTTTTTGTATCATAATCTCTAAATTATCAGATAAATGTTTAGCTTATTTAAAAAAATATTAATAATAATAATTTTTTTTTCTTTTCTGTGCATAGAAAAGAATCACCCCCAAGATATTAAAACCTCCAAGCTTTAATGTAGGAATGCTGTTATTTGGATGGTGAGCTGTATTGAATTTCTGCCAGACATATCGTTTGGTGTTGAGGCCAAATAATTCAATTTTAGTCTCATGTGGCCTCAGAATCTTCAAGGTGCATTTTGGCAAAGCTCAGTCATGACTGCATGTGGCCTTTCTTGAGGAGTGGCTTTTTTCTTACAACCCTGCCATACAAGCCCCATTTGTGGAGAATGTGTGATATTGTTGTCACATGCACACAAAGACCACTCTTTGTCATAAATTCCTGCAACTGCTTCAGAGTTGCTGTAGGCCTCTTGGTCCCTCTCTTACCAGTTTCCTCCTGGCTCTTTCATCCAGTTTGGAGCGATGTCCTGATCCAGGGAGGGTCTGTGTGGTACCAAATACCTTCCTCTTCTTAATAAAAGGCTTCATTGTGCTTCTAGGCATTGATAAAGCCTTTGAACATTTTTGTATCCATCTCCCGACTTGTGCCTGTCCCCAACTCTATCCCGGAGATCTTTTGACAGTGCCTTGCCACTCATAGTTGATTGTTTGCTTCAGTTGCACTACTGTTACATCCCTTAAGTTTTTTAACTTAGCTGCACTAGGGGAGAATGGGAAAATAACATTTGGAAAGATGTGTGTACATATACAAGAACGCCGGCAGGACTTCCAACTACCAAGGACTGAAATGCTCCAGGAAAGCTCTTTTCATGCTGAGCTAATCAAAATGACCACAGCTGATTGAGTTTACAAGTCATTTTTAGGAGGGGGGGGGGGGGGATCCTTTTTCCAACTCACATTTTTATTTTTTATGTTGGTGGTGTTATATATTTTACTTGAATGTTATAAGTTGCACTGAGTAAATATAGCTGGATAAAACAAAAACTGTGTCTGTCTTCATTTCAGACTGCTAAGCAACAAAATTTGATTATTTTAAAATGGGGTGATTCTTTTCTAAACCCACTGTAGCATGCATCCAGCTTAAAACCAGTGGCTCCAAAAATGGTTTGGACACTTTAAAATGTATGAATTTTAAAACAAGCCATTTAATTTAAAATAGGATAGCACACTTTTCAAAGACAACCCTTTTGCATAAGGATGTTTGTTAGGTTTTAAATGATAAAAACAATGGATATACCGTTTAGAAGTAATATAAAATATTTTGACACTTGTCAAACGTTAGTTGACCATAGTTAATGTGATGAACTACTCTTATGGTTATTCTGATAGGACACCTGTGTGAACCTCTATCAGTGCATTCACTAAAACTTCCATTGCAAGTACCTTACTGTTTCCCATGTGTTTGCTTTTTTTTAAGGAAAAGGAAGGACAAGTGGAAATAACTTTTTCTGGTAATCAACATTATGCTGCGCATACTGTCTGTTGAGCTGAACTTGTACTGAACCCAGAATATTTTGCCTGACACACAACAGTCACATTGCTGTTAAACTGTAGCATTTCCAATTCAGTTGAACCTGTCAGAAGTCTCATTGTTCACGATCAGTTTTTGAAGCTTTCCATGAAGGTTGTGCCTTTACACCGACTGCAAAATAGACAGGATCCATTCACACAAACTGCTCAAGTGTTATTTTATTCATAAAGGGGTGCCTTGTGGTTGCAAACTGCTAAAGCATAGTGGGAATTGATACAGATATTTTGGCAGCTAGTTAGGAAACATAATATTTGATACTTTAGTTATCATTTTATTGCTATTTTCTTTTGTGTTTTTTGGAACCATATTGAGGTCTGAAGGAAATTACACTTATGTTTTATATACATTTCTTTGCAGTAATTGCAGATGGGTGTTGAATTTCCCTGCGGTAACATGGTTGAATTTTCTCTTTCCTGTAGCACTGAATGAACCCACAATTGACTATGGTTTCCAGCGGCTACAGAAGGTGATCCCTAGACACCCAGGCGACCCTGAGCGCTTACCAAAGGTCAGTTCTTTAGCATGACGTAACTATTGTCCTTTCTTTTCTTTAAAGTCAACATGAAGTCAAAATTGACCCCATTTACTTTCTTTATACACGTTTCTGGTCTTATTGTGAACAATTTGTTGGTGCATTATTCCAAAGATTATCCTTTCAAACAACTTTTGTTTTCCGCTGACATCAATTAGGGCCAAACAGGCTACTAGGTTAACCAGTTACCAAATAACTGTTTAGACTTTTTTTTTTTTTGCAAAATCACATTAAGTTTGGCTCCAATCTGGTATGTAAAAAGAATAAGAATTCCTAAATAATAAGTCCCGTCCAGATATTTTCTCATTCACATTATAAGTAAAATGGGTTTCAGTCTTGATATTAACCGTTTACTTTATTTTCTGTAGTTCACTTTTATTTTCAAAGAGCAATTGCCAGCATAAACACACTGGTCCCGATTTCCGATAGCCATGGTCTAGTTATTTGAACCATTCATTACAGACTCCTTCAGTTCAGAGATTATGTACTGTATATTCATTCTCACGCAGTTGTGTTCGGTATTCTTGTGAAAGGTGCCCAGTTATGGACCCAGTTGGGTGTTTATGTCTCTCTCCGTGCACGCTTCTTAGGGAGAGGCAGGCCATGTACATGGATCCTTTGGGAGGGATAAATAAACATTACTTTATCATGTTGTGCGTGTCCTATACCCCAGAGCCCCGCTCCAGCAGCCCCACTTAATAGTGTACAAAAAAAGGAAGTAATTATGGCTGGCTGGGCCTGCTCACGCTCAGGATTGACCTTGTGCTGCTAGCAGCCTTCTGTATCAAAGCTGGGCCATCAGTATTCATGGCCCATGAGCCACCTCCCAATCCATTGCACCTTAAACACATCAAATTAGACCCAGGGGGTCAACGAATGTGGTGTCAAACCAAAGCCAGTCTAGAGGAATCAGGCAAATGTAGTTGGTGGCCAAGTAGTTACAGTGGGCTGCTAATCTCATGTGACCTGCACCACACATCACTTTTATTTTAGTATAATTGAGATAGTATTATAGTTTTATATGTATGTATATATTTTAAGTAGTTATTTTAGTGCATCAACTTAAACTAAAAATATTGTCTTGGCAACTAGCTGATTTATGGTTTTAGTTTTAGATGACTATAATAACCCTGGCACACAGTCTGTTTTCTTTCTTCTTTTCATTGAGGCACACTGTTTAGTGATTTAGTAGAGTGCTTGACAGGAAGTGATATCACAGCTGTGCCTTTGTGATGTCAGAGTTAACATTTTGCCGGCACTCTGGGAATAACTGGGTCATGGGCTACAGCACAGATTCATCGGGTATTTTTCAACTAGTCAGGAAAGGTTTTAAAATATACACTACCAGTCAAACGTGAGGACACTCCTCATTCTTTATTATTATTATTATTATATTTTTATCCGCATTTTATTCACATAATAATTAAGTCATCAAAACTATGAAAACTTTTCATTCGCTATCCACTTGGGGAAAATTCTTAACTTCTTTTTTATTATTTATTTATTTATTTATTATTATTTTATTTTTATTTTTGACAATCATTCTTAGGCACAATTCGTATTTGACTACAACAAAACAAATCAAAAATAAAATAATTGTTATTTAAAAATAATTGTTCTTTCAAATTAAATAATTAATATTTAACTACAAACTACTTTTTGAGTTTTTAGATCATGAAAAACATTGTTAAGTATGTCCAAACTTTTGACTGGTAGTGTGTAGTGATATTATTTGCTAAATGTTATCTGTAGCTTAATAAATATGTCATTAACAATTTTGTGAAGTTTTTCATTTAATTTTTATCTTGATGTAGGTTTTATCCTTCCTCTATCTCTCTATTTCTTCTTCTCTTCCCTCACTCACTCACTCCCTCACTTCCCTTCCCTCATGTTAGTTTCCATTCCCCAGCTGGTGGGGAGAGGACAGATCTTCTGTCTACTGTCAGTGGGGCTAAAGAGGGCAACAGTGTTTGATCTCAGTCCCTAATGAACCACATGGACATTGTCTGAATACCTTCCTCTGCAGTCCCACAGTCTGAACCCACACACACACACACACACACACACACACACACACACACTAGCAAACACACACTCGCCCTCCATTGTGTACTAAAACACTGAGCTGAACCGCTAAAGGGCCCAGCAGACATGTGTTGCTACTCGTCCCACCTTATGCTGATGGGGACTATTACATTACTAGCTCATTGATGTTACTGATGAAGATATAAATATCCCCTTACAATGACAGAAAATATAAATTGCTAGACATTTAAAGAGCATATTGAAGGTTCCCACAGTCATCTGGAAATATCAGGATAATTTTTTTTACATTTTACAATTGTGTTGTCCTTTTCCAAATTCATAAAATTGTAATCCTGGAAAATCCTTTTTTTATTTTTTATTGCTCAACTTATTTCATTGCTTAGAAATTGCTTTTTTAGTGTAAGATCTAGGAAATGATTGTTAAAAATCAACATGCCATGGGAATCAATTGGTCACAAGATTTGGGAACCCTGTTTTTATCATTTGCTTATCAGTCAGAGAATTAGCTTCTCTGCAGAAAGAGGAAAAGTTAAATGCGCCTCATGACGATTATTTTTCTCTGTCTGCCATGTTGGAACAGTCTGGTAATTTTCATTGAAACTGGGGCAGCATGTTGCTCACATATGCTCTCTGTGATCTTAACCTTGGCTTGATTTGGACTCATTTTCCTGGGCTGATGATAAAGCTGAATGCATTAGGTGGGTCATGGCTGGGGTCACTTGTCATATCTTTCCCACCGTTTTCAAGATTAAAGGAGGTAGATCTGAATACACTCGTGGCTGCACTCCCCAGAGAGCCTGCTTAACAGCCGGCCATAGTTTTAACTGATTCCTTACCTTTTAATGAATAGGGTGGGATGGCCCACAAGTGAGCAGCCTCACTCTATTAGAGGTGCTGAATAAAACAGGTAGGCAAAAATACTCAGTGAGATAGCTTCGGGGTCAGGTATAGGGGAAGTCCCGGAGGAAGCAGTTAGATGCTTGTTTGGTTATATTAGGATACTGAAGTACATGCCCACTTTTTCAGCAAGCCCACTTGAAAAAAAAGACATATTAAGTCTTGTTTTCAGATAAATCTAACAAAATTAATTAAGGTTTATGCTTAAAACAAGAAACATATTTTCCAATTGGTAAGAAAAATAGTCATCTTTTAAAGAAAAAAAAAACTAAGTAATGTAATTTTTTTTCATTACCCTATTTGGATTTTTTATTTTTTCGCTTTAAACCTCACTAAATTTTGTTCTATTTGTCTGAATACAAACCTTAATATCTTTAAGGTTTTGCTTCTCAAGTAAATGTCTTATTTCAAGAATGTTAAACTTTACTGAAAGACAAAAATAGTGTGTGTGTGTGTGTGTGTGTGTGTGTGTGTGTGTGTGTGTGTGTGTGTGTGTGTGTGTGTGTGTGTGTGTGTGTGTGTGTGTGTGAGTAATGCATTCATTTTTTCTTAATTGGGGTTTTAAAAAATCCTTAATAATGAGTAAATTGTGATAAATAAACCATGCAACTGATTTATTTGCAACTCATGATTCATGAGTTGCAAATAAACCATGCAACTCATGAATCACACCATTTCAAACTTTGAAGCAAAAAAGTATTTGAAAATTAGAGAAAGAGCCGAAGGTGCGAGATTAACTTTATATATTTGATGAATTTGAAGTTATTCACAGTGCTTCATGAGAGTGGGATGTCGCTGTTGCGCTTTTTCAGTGTGGTTTTCATTTCTGTTTTTTTATGGTTCCAAGTAGAAGCTGTAGTCTTGATATCTTGGAGGATTATATGTAGTGCAGTTGAAATCACACTGACTTTTGGCTTCTATAGAAGCATATTCTATCACTTAGCAACCTCCGAGTTCATGGTATGTCTTTGCTGACAGATTTTTCATTTTTCTCTATGGAACAAAATTAATGTCAAATAAGTTAATGTTTATCTTCAGAGAATGCAGATCACATGGAAAACAATATCCCAATATGTTCAACAATGCACTAACATGTACACCTTTAGTCCTTTGCCTTGACAGGTTGGCAGAGAGAGAGAGAGAGAAGGAGAACAAAAGGAACAGAGGTAGGAAGGTGGAGAGAGAGAGAGAGAGAGAGAGAGAGAGCAGGGTGATCCATCGTGGTGAAGTCAGCTGTCCGGTGCTGCCTTCTCACAGGTCAGCCGATCGAAGGCACCACAGCCCTCACTTTATTACTGCTCGCCCAACAATAATTGAGTCACCACAAGGGGGAAGAGGCAGCCAAGGCTGCATGAGGAAAGAGGGTGTAGAGGTAGTGAACATGGAAAGGGTAAATTAGAAATAATTTTTTGGTGTACCTATATATGTCCGGCCAGTTGTCAAGACAAGGCTGGTGTTAGCAGATGGATATTACCCTGATTTCCTCAAGTACTTGAGGCTGTATGCATCTCTCTCTCTCTGTCTTCCCCTCCTTATTTCTGTCCCTCCTCCTCTCGTTCGAACACTCTCAGCGAGATATTAACAGCGTCGGCTACTGCGCCCAGCCACTCATTTCAGCACTATTGATTTTGCCCTTTATTGAGGCAATAACAGTTTGTTGACGGCACTTCTCTAAACTGCTGGACTCAATCACAGGTGAGGGCCAAGTGTGGAACACGGCAGGTTAACTTGTTTCTCTCAGTCCTCGAACAAGCGTGCTACTATGTTATCCAGCCCTGCAAATTTATTACACAGCAATAGTTCCACAAGATGTTTTTTTTTTCTGTGATATTTTGAAAAAATGAATTATCGCATCTGAAATATCTTATAATAACAGGATTTACGCATATGTGGTACTAGTGATAGTGAGGATATGTGAAATTAGGACTTTCAGGGCCCCAATGACCCCTCGAATGGAGCAAGAGCCCCCTAAAGTATTGTTTAAAATCGAGTGTTGCATTGCATGTATATAATGTATGTAAGTGTGTATATATGTTAAATTTTATATTATTTAATATTTTAAATGGGTGTTTAAATAAACTGATTAATATAATACATTAAAAATATTTATTTTCTTTTTTATAGTAGAATTTATATATTTACATATTGTGTAGGGAATAATTTCGAGGAGAAACTATTAATTGAATAGTGGAAACTGCATCCCACAATGCACCTGGCCCATATTCAGCACATCTAGGCTGCAGCCTTGTTTGGTCTCTCTCCATCTCTTCTGTTAGCATTGTTTCCTACATTTTCCCTGTCACTTCACATCCACCTGATCCCCACTGGCTGCCTCCACAGGGTCCAGAATTCAATCTGTGCTTCCAGGAAAAATCTCCTGCTTCTGAGTAACACTGCAGTGTGCTCTTTATATATTGCTGGGAAATCCATAAGACTACTATAAAATATCTGAATATGGATCTAGTTAAACTTAACCTGCACACATTTATCTAGACCAGCATTGCAAAACTCAAAGCAAGCAAAGTTAAGAATCACCAATCTAGACAACTGTGGCGAAACTTTTAATAGTGTTTGTTATATAAGTCATTGAGTCTTTGCAAATATTTGGTGGCTGCACTCCGATGTTGTACACTGCAAATGTGGACAGACAGGTTATTTTTGAATTTCAGAGAGTAACCTTTGAGACCCGGAGAGAATATGAATTATGCAATGAAGCCACATTAGTTAAAGAGCACAGTGACTGATGTTTATGATGGGCAGATATTGATAGAAGGAAGACATGGAGGAGGAGGTGGAGATTGGAGGGAGACTAAGGATATTTGATTTTGCATTTGACAAACTCGGTGGATAAGTCACCATGTTAAGCAGTACATTCAACCGAGCGAGCAAACTCAAATCTGCGAAATCAAAGAAGTGTGCATCAGCTGTGTTCAAACACATGTAATGGACATTCTGCTCTAATTCACATGTGATTCACCACGTCTACGCAATACGATGGACACGTTCACTCAGTGCACTCTTGCATGAATCACAGTTTACCTCATGCAAAGGTAATTAACACATATATATACCCTTAAAAACATGCTTAAATTCAGGAAAATGCATGTAAACATATTAACTGTCATACATTATAACACCACAAACCATAATTTTGATGAACTACTGTACTCTTATACTGACAGTAACTAACTCTGTTATAGGGCTGCTGATTATTACGGTAAAAACACTTTTCTATCAGATTAAAACCTGACATATTGCTCTGGGAACCATCACAGTTGAATTGACTCACCGTTTGAGTATCTTATCTCTTACATCAGCGACAAATGGTGTGTTTGAAACTGAAGATTAGATTATTGTCAGGATAGGGAAAGGCTCACTATATGATAGCCCTCATTCATCAAAATGGATAGCAGCCTTGGTGGGTATAAACAGCATGACATTACACACCAGTGTGGTCACTGTTTGAGTCAAGCATTTGCCGTTATTGAAAACAGATAGAGGCATATGAGTTTGTGTGGTTGGCTTGCACAGATTATATGTACATCCCACTTGGATTGGGTTTGCTCTTGGTGCACCCTATATATAGTATGTGCTGTTCTTATACTCTAGTATTTAGTTTTTGAATGCTTGCAGTAAGGTTGTTTAATTTTCAGTGCATGATTAATAATATTAATAAAAATTATGAATAATATTTATAATCAGTATTAATATTTGTTATATTTATAAATATCTACTTACCAAAATGAAAAAAGGTGGTTAGTTTTCCTACCATTAGCATAATTAAAATAATTTTTTGAAACACCTTTTTCAAAATGTAACTATTTTTTGTATCTTGACAGTGTATTTTTTAATTATATAATATGGATAATATGGAAATAAAATAAAAGTACATTGACTCCTGAAGCCACTTTTTTGATTATCCAGTGCTTTACTAATCTACTACAATGCAATGTCTTTAAATCATTTTCTGTAGGGGCGTTTCCCCCAAATTTTCATATCATGTAATTAATTTAATTAAGATTTTTAATCATTTGACAGCCTTTGTTTCCATGAGATTCTGTGGACTGAAGGACTTATAAAATATATGTATTTTGTTATTACTGCACAGCACCCCAGTGAGAGGGATCTCAGTTAAGCTAATAAAACCAGAACCTCCACGAGACCAGCAGTCCATGAAGTCAGGGAAGCAGAGCAGGAAGTATGACATCATCACTCCGATCCGTTCCGCATGAGCGACGACAGTGACCCCGCTGGTATTACTGCTCTAATAGAACATTAGGAGATGATAAAATTGCAAATGAACAAGCACAGGAATAAATTTGTCATGTTTTTACAGGCCTGGCTTCCTTGTAAATGTGCAGACGCCATTGCCTTATCATTCCAGATGTGACCCGGGCCTTATTTCATTTTTTCAGCAATCCCCTTCCTAATGAATGTATATCATATTACCAGCCACCATAATTTACACACAGGAACAGATTCAATGTCCGGCGCACATTAATGTGGAGGCTGGCCCTAACTGTGCTGCGCTGTGGGCTATTTGATATTATATTCTTCGAAACACTATGCCTGGGGTTGTTTGGTTGCACACATTCGCATTTATATGTGCTTATGCATTGCTATGAATGTATATATACATCACAGCTTTCACGTTGATGGAAAACAAAGCTGGAAAACACCTGTCAGGGTGCTAAAGACACTCCGAATGAGTCAAAACGGAGATTGAGTCCTCTTAGCTCATGGCCGCACTGAAGGAGCGGAGAAGGGGGGAGGATTGAGCATGGGTTACGATGACTCTGACTGATAGACAGCTATACAGACGCACAGATCCAAGATCAGGTTTCTTTCCTGTTTACCGCTCCTGGCTCCCTGCTCGGCCCTTACTGGAAGCCCTGCTACTCGCCCAGGAAATGGGCTCTGCTTCCAGACACAGGGCCACCACACACGGCCCGTGCTAATAGCATTTATTTGTTTGTCTGGACAAACTTTTGGCCCCTTCCTTATTGCATTTGCCCTCTCAACAGATCTCTCCCCCACCCCCCAATATCGTAATGACGGGAGATCGATAGGTAAGGACGAGACCTTCTAACAAAGGAGAGTGGAAGCGAAAGGGAGAGAAGTAGATGAGAGTGTGAGAGGTGTACTGGATAAATGACACAGTGCCGGTGCAGCAGGGGACCAAGCCATGGACTAATGCTTCCCATCCCTTATGTTCTTCCACCATCCCTCGGAGAAGAGGGTAAAGGAGAAGAGAGCCCGTTGGAGTCACACATCCATACTAAAGCACCACTTTAGGCCTCCCCAGGCTCCCGCACTTCTCTCAATCACCCAGGCAAAGCCCGGGCGAACAGAGACTGGTGCCTCCCCCGCGAAGCACCCCTAACGAGGGGTTAACGCAGTGCCAGAGCTCCCATTATTGAGTGAATTTAGCACCTTGGACAGCGCACTAAAAATCTTTATTGCTTTGCTGACCCCCTTGTCATGTTCGTGTCTGTGTGTTGCATTTGGGGCCGTCGGGGGGAGGCAGAGGGGGCTGATTGAAAGGCAATATGTCGGCTGGCAGGCAGGCACACATGCTCGGGGGCTTGTTCGCAGCGAGGGTTACACGCCGAGGGTGAGAACAATTTTCTGGTTGTCGCACTGCGAGCTTATTTCCTCAGCACCAGCACATTAACTTTTAAAAAGGGTTCCACTGGAGCTTCAGGGTTTAAAAAAAATGAAGAGAAGAGGGCTTGGAAAAAAGGAAATGAATACACAGTGTAAAGAACACTGTAAATAGATGTTTAATGTGTGAAAAGAATGGTAATAAATAGGTTTCCAGTTATGAAAGTCGATTACCTGGAAGGAAAATAGCGTTACTGTTGCCCTTGCCTCCTGCGGAACAGTCGTTTGCATGTACTAACATGCATGTATTTGCTTTAAATGTGTTTGTATTCATGTATTATACATGGAATCATGGCGGTACTGTTGGTAGGAAGAGCTAGGTAAAGCACGGTGCTGTTAAGGTGTTTTCTAAGATGTATACCCTCTGCAAATTGTAGGGGAGTTGTGGTCAAGGATATTGGCTAGCAATTCAAAGGTTGCATGTTCAAACCCTGTCAGGGGTGATCTAGGAACTGAAGAGCCCTGTTAGCATTTTGCCCTTTAGCAAAGCACTTAACCTGATATTGTTCTAAAGGGACTGATCCTGTAGTAATTGTACTGTAAGTTGTTTGTGCTTGTTGACAAATAAACAAATAGACTAGAAAAAGTTGTTGGCTAAATAAATAAAAAATTAACGTTGCTTTCTAAACATTCTTAAAATTCCTAATTTCATAAAATAATGGCATATGATATTAGGAACTGCTTTTAGAAAATATGTCTTGAAATACTTTTTTTTTCTTGTTTTAAGATATATTATCTGAAAATTTTACCATTTTATCAATTATATTATCAGTTGTCAAGTAAATTAATCTAGTGATCAAGATCATGTTTTGTGCATTTGACATCAAAATTAACATGGAAAGCTAAAGTGCCACCTTTTATCTTTTTTGTTATATAGGAGGTGATTCTTAAGAGGGCAGCAGATCTGGTGGAAGCTCTGTATGGGATGCCACACAATAATCAGGTGAGATTCAGGTGAACACAATGAAACAGCAAACCATAAACAGGGCCTCATTCAATATCCATGCATACACGTGTGTTTGTGCATAAAACCTGTTTAGGTGAATTTTCACACAGAAATCATGATTAAAAAATAAATTTGGTCTAAAATGTATTTTAAATTTACTATACCTTTTTTTAAATAATTTTTAGAAATCAGTCATTTGTTATGATAATTTTTAAAAAATATTTAATATTATTAGAAATTTCATTGAACTTGACAAAAAAATAAGATCTCGTTTCACACCCTCTCAGACTTGAATGCATGTGCACAAGAGAGAGTGCAAACTGTATTATTAGTAAAAAAAAAAAAAAAAGCACATTGTGTTGTAGGATCAGTGCAAATAATACCATTTTCCACATTTAAATGGTTTAATTAAACAGCACAGTTAAGCATTTGTTCCCAGTTAAGGCCATTTTTGAGCTTTAAGACCGTAGAATTGTTCTCTAATATTCCCTAACATATTCTCTCAACATAAATCCCCCAATGTAATTCCTTCAGAGCTCTCTCTCATTGGTTTGAAGGACCACAAGGGCATCTTCAATGTTAGATCAGTTATGAACTGCGAGTGAGGGTATATGCTCATCGATTGCAGAGCTGAGCATGAGTGCAGTGATGCTGAATTATTTAGGCTGGGCAGTGGATGGAGCATGACTCCAGTCATCAACCCACTCAAAGAGCTCTCTCTCAGGACCCCCTGTCCCCCCAACCTCCACTGGGTCCTGTTGTCTTTATGAGGGTGAATTTGAGACATGAATTTTCCATCAAAATGTGCAGCCCCCCTTCCCCAGCCCCCAAAACTAGAGTTTTCTGCTCTAGCTGATTAGCAGATAAGCACATCTTTAATGATTATACTTCTAGATTGTGTTCTTTTAGTATTTTAAGAATATATTGATTCATATGATCATATTTGACCAGGTGTGTTTATCTGGCAACTCATACTGTAGATTGCCCATACTTAGATATAATTATTTTAAGACAATTTTCTAAATACTAAACAATAAGATGCAGTGGGTATTTTGGGTTTTTTAATTGTTGTTTAATATTAACTGTTATTTGTGTTTATTTATTGACTGATTGACTGTATTTTATTGGGTTATGATTACTTATTTAGTCAAACTGTTATTATTTATACTGTATGATTATTTGAAAGAGAGTGTTTTTTTTCAGGCAGTTGGCTTACTAGTATCCTTCTAATCATTAGATCGGTCAATTTCTGTGTTGATCCTGATAGGAGATCATTCTGAAAAGAGCAGCAGATATCGCAGAGGCACTCTACAATGTCCCACGTGGACACAACCAGCTGCCAGGTCTGGCTAACAGCTCAGTTCATGCAGGCATGATGGGAGTCAACTCCTTCCACAGCCAGCTCGCTGTCAATGTCTCTGAGTCCACACAAGGAGCCAATCAGGGTGAGCAGAGATGCAAGACGCCATCAATCTTAAACCACAAGATATTTTGGCCATTCACAAAAAAAGTGATTTACTATGAGAGTTTGTGTGTGTGTGTGTGTTTGTGTGTGTGTGTGTGTGTGTGCGTGCAAAGAGAGGATAAGGATTAATAATTCACTTTTGCATATGGTATTTTAGTGCAAACACTAAAACTACTAACCAGTTGTTTCTCTAACCACTATCAGTTGAGTTTAACCAGGTGCTAAATGCACTGAAATATTGCTGCAATGTATTTAATAAATCATTGTCAATCTTTCCATTTGACTTCTTTTTGTGTTAGAGTGATTCTGGATAGTCCCATTAAAGTGTGCAAATTCACGGTATTCAGTAGTCTGCTACGTCCTTCGAACCTTAGGCAAGTGGGTGAAAAGTAGCGAGATAGACAGCATGCAGACAGATACAAGCGTTCAGCAATGCTCCCTGAACCTCCAGGCTCCTTTACCTCAGCATTCCTTGGCCTCTGTGACAATGAATGATTTGTGTTAAGTCAGCAGTAATGTATCAGTCGTCTGATGAAAGGGAGAATGAATAGTAAGCAGAGCAGAGATGAGCGCTGCCTTTGTACCAGTCAGCGGGGACTCCTGGAGCGAGAACTTCCTGCTGCTTTCACCCATGTCAGCGTTTAATGTCCTGATGTATATTTATAGTCCACATCCTCCTCCTGTCCTATCTGCCTCTGTATACCACTGACACACAGATCTTTCTTTTAAGGAACAATTTACCCAAAAATGAGATTTCTATCATCATTCATTCACTGTCATGTCATTCTGGATGTGTATGACTTTATTTCTACTGTGTAACAAAACAGGAGATGTTTGATAGAATGCTTACGGTGCTCTTTTCCATACAATGAAAGTCAATGGTGACCAGGAGCTGATTCTGTTTGTTTCTAAATGTATTCTTTCTTTCCTATTTCTTTTCCTTATTACTATGAGTGTGTGTTTCAGGTTTCAGTCGAAACACAAGCAGTGTGTCCCCTCACGGTTATGTACCCAGCACGACACCCCAGCAGAGTAGCTACAGTAGCGTCTCTACCAATATGAATGGATACGGCAACACAGGCATGACCACGCTGGGAGGGTCGCCCAACTTCCTCAATGGCTCTGCTGCCAACTCTCCTTATGCCAGTGAGTACTGATCCTCTCTATGTCTGTTTATCTCTCTCTCTTTTACATTTTTGTATCAGGTGCACATAGATATGAGTATTCACACAAGTGAATGAAAAAAAAAAATTATATATATATATATATATATATATATATATATGCATATAATAATACTATAATAATAAAAAAAAATTTTTTTTAAAGAAATTATTGCTTTTATGCAGCAACACATTCAGGACATTAAACTAATCAAAAGTGACAGTAAAGACTTTTAGATTGTTTCAAATATTTCTATTTCAAATAAATGCTGTTCTTTTGATCTTCCTATTCATCAAATAATCCTGAATAACTGTTTTCAACATTGATAATAATAAGAAATGTTTCTTGAGCAGCAAATCATCATATTAGAATGATTTCTGAAGGATAATATGACACTGAAGACTGGAGTAAGGATGCTGAAAATTCAGCTTGGTCTTCACAGGAATAAGTTGCATTTTTAAATATATCAAAATAGAAAACTGTTATTTTAATTTGTGACAATATTTCCCAACATTACTGTTATTACTGAGTTTTTGATCAGATAAATGCAGCGTTGGTGAGCATAAGAGACTTCTTACCGACCCCAAACATTTGAACTGTAGTGCATGAATGTCTAAAGGGGTAATTGCATTCTAAACATAAACTGTAGTAACATTAATGTATCTTACACGTATATCATATTTCGCCTAGACCACCAAGTAAGCCAGTCCTGCCACTGTGTGTGTGTGTGTGTGTTTAATCCCAGCCACTCTTTTTCTTCAGTCATGATCAGACACTGTCTATAATGCTTAGCCATTCGTATAACACCAATCTTCTCGCGCGGCTTCTAAATTAAAGCGTCTTAATTAAATCAATAAACTAATTGCAGGAGAAGCAATTCAACTTCGGTACTTTGATTCCATGATGTTAACAAGTATTTTAACAGGCTCACTGACTCCACGCTGACACTTTCAATCAATGCGAGAGAGCTGATTTTGTGGGCTCCAATTTTCATTAATTGATTAGTTAGGCCTTCATAAATGGATTATGACACTATCAGGAGAATTTACTTGGGAAAGTGCCATAAAATTTAAGCGCAGAATAATAACAACAATAAAGGTAGAGCAGGATATAAGAGAGCAGCTGAAATACGACAGGAGTAATTGTAAAATCGTTGAGGGGGAAAATGCTCTTAGGGTATTAATAGACAAAAGGAGAGGCGGTAGAGATGGGGCAGAGGAGGGACCAGCGCTAATGTTGTTCTGAGAGGAGCAGACAGTGCATCTGTGGAGCTTGAGGACTGTGAACCTCCAGTCAAGGAATACTATAAAAATAAATGATCTAACATTGATTATACATATTATTACCACCTATCATTTTATAAAAATAAAAAAAATAATCAAATCATGTGCTTCAGGTATGCTCTGATCTACCCTAAACCGGTTTCCCTCTCTCGTTCATTCCCGTCCCTCAGTTGTTCCTTCCAGTCCCACCATGGCCTCCTCCACCAGTCTTCCCTCCAACTGCAGCAGTTCCTCAGGCATCTTCTCTTTCTCTCCGGCCAACATGGTGTCTGCAGTCAAACAGAAGAGCGCTTTTGCTCCCGTTGTGCGGCCCCAGGCCTCGCCACCTCCTACCTGCACCAGTGCCAATGGAAACGGCCTCCAAGGTGAGTGGAACAGCAGAATGAAAAGCTTGACCTCACCAAGATAGGGCAAGCACAAATATGAACATTCGGTTTAAATATGTTAATTTAAGGTTTTTTTTTGTGTGTGTCTGGGGCAGACACACACCTTCAAAATTTTCGGATCGATAACCAGTTTTTATTATTTTTTGAAAGAAGTCTCACCAAGGCTGCATTTATTTGATCAAAAATACAGTAAAACTATAATATTGTGAAATACTTTTTTATTGTAATGTATTTTAAAAATGTAATTTAATCTTGTGATAGCAAAGTTGAATTTTTAGCAGCCATTACTCCAGTCTTTAGTGTCACATGATCATTCAGAAATCATTCTAATATAACAATTCTCGTGCTACTTAATATTTTGGTGGAAACCGTGATACTTTTTTCAGGATTCTTTGATGAATAGTGAGATCAAAACAACAGCATTTATTTCAAATAGAAATCTTTTGCAACAATGTAAAAGTCTGTACTGTCACTTTTGATCAATTTAATGTGTCCTTGCTGAAGTATTAACTTTTTAAAATAAAATCCTACTGACTCCAAGCTTTTAAACGATAGTGTAAGTGTATGTACAGTGGGGCAAAAAAGTATTTAGTCAGCCACCAATTGTGCAAGTTCTCCCACTTACTCCAGTCTTTAGTGTCACATGATCATTCAGAAATCATTCTAATATAACAATTCTCGTGCTACTTAATATTTTGGTGGAAACCGTGATACTTTTTTCAGGATTCTTTTATGAATAGTGAGATCAAAACAACAGCATTTATTTCAAATAGAAATCTTTTGCAACAATGTAAAAGTCTGTACTGTCACTTTTGATCAATTTAATGTGTCCTTGCTGAAGTATTAACTTTTTTAAATAAAATCCTACTGACTCCAAGCTTTTAAACGATAGTGTATGTATGTGTGTGTCTGTGTATAGTGATTTTGCTGTGCAGTGTTGTTTCTAAGTGCTCAGTTATAAAACCAATTGAGCTGACTCCAAAATGACAATAAACTAATTATGTTGCCTTCAATGACACATAGTTTTCACCAATTTCTTCAATCAAAAGTCTTCCATGCAGAGCACTGTTTATGTGACGCAAGGAATCTGTGGCTATGTAAAGTTTTCCAAGTAGTCCATTCTGGTTGAAAGGCAGCTGTCTATGTAGGCAGTTGGCAGTGATGCAACTCACTTGTTTTGAAACAGCTGGAGTGTCTGATCTACAGCCTTCTAACACTTAGACAGCTGTCAGTTTGTCCTAACTTGCGGTAATCTGTTTTTACCTGTTTCTGACCCAATTCCTCTTTTTGCACTAAAAAAATAAATCTCTTTTTGTTTCCTTCATCTTCCTTCCCCTGCTTTCTCCCTCTGCTTCCAGTAGATCAATCTTTTATGGACTCTAGCAAGTACTCCACCGCCAGCTCCCTGCAGGGACTGGCCTTCTCCTGAAGTATGTTACACCTGTCTCACACTCTTTCTTCATCATCCTCTCTTTCTATCCATTAAGCCATCCATCAGCATGACTGTCAGATCATCCTCTCCCTTCAGCCTCCCTCGTTCTCCTCACTTCTGCTCAGTCAGTGGGGGCCTGCTGTGCGTCTCCAAGAGCATGCCATATGTGTTTCATTTCCTGCCTGACTTCCTGTTCCCTGTGTCAAGTCCTCCTCAGAGTTCAATTGTGGCTGTGGAGTGTAGAATACAAGGATTTTGTCAGTTAACTAACTATAAGCCAGTTAACATCCACGAATTTAAAAATCAATCAAAAAACAATTACAAATTGTTCACAAAATATGCTCATAAAAATGACACAATGTAAACAAAATTGTAATGGTCCTAAGAATAGGTTTTATTTTTCATCCAGTTTTTATTATTATATTATTACTTTATTTATTTATTTATTTTAAGATTCCGCCAAATTGTAGCAGGCTACATAAAACCACTTTTGTGACATCTATAAAAACATACTGTATGTTCACTGTTATCTGAAACAAAGCCATAATCAGCATTCTCTGATTTATGACAATTACTCTGCGCAGCATTTGGCCCTGGGTGTTGATCTGAAATATCTAGACATCCACAGTGAGACAATATTCAAGTAATTGAGCATTTGAGGCAGACATCTCTTATCTGTGAGCGTGGAGTGCTTCCTCTCCGTATGTTGATATGCACTCAGCACTCTGACCCAATGACCGATTGTCGGTCACCACTCTCCCCCCACCCCCCCCCCCCCCCCTCCCCCCTACGTCTATTACGCACAATTGAGCATTTGAGGCAGACATCTCTTATCTGTGAGCGTGGAGTGCTTCCTCTCCGTATGTTGATATGCACTCAGCACTCTGACCCAATGACCGATTGTCGGTCACCACTCTCCCCCCCCCCCCCCCACCCCCCATTCCAAATGAGGCAGAGACACTCAGGAAATAACCCAGGAATTAGAGATGAGGGACCAGAGAGAGGAAATCAGTAGGAAGCCAATATGCTGCATGAAAAATCTGGTGCGGTGATGTGGCCTGCTGAAAGTAGGGAGCGATGGAGAGAGAAACCAAGCTCAGTGCTCATGGGACTTGCTTCCTCTTGGCTAATAATGAATAGAAGTGATAGTAATGTTTGACTGAACGTTGTTTAATGTTTGAGAACAAAAATTATTTATCTAAGCTCAAGCTATTTTTGTTTAAGTGTTGGCAAGCAAGTTCATTTGGGTCAGACTATGTATACACTGCATGCACTTTTTATTAGCATAGCTGTTTGTTTATAATTTGTCTCGTAAAAATGATGTCCACATAAATGTGCGTCGGTCCCCATAGGCACATGAAGTAAACACTCATCGAAACACAAGCGAAAAGCTACACAGTCAAATAAAAAAACTGCTTTAAATGACCTGTTTTTATTCAAGTCAAATATATTATTTAATATGACTGGATTACACCAATGGAAGTCATTTTTAAGAGTAAAAATAGCTCCAACTACATGCATACACTGAGTTTGTCCTCTACGCTCTTCATGTAAATGCAAATTCCCTCAGACTGTAAGAATATCCTGAACGTCTCCCCCGAACCCGTGGAGCTTTGTCCTCATGGGAGAGAAGCATTAGCTAATGTGTTGCGAAGCCGTCCTATAGTGTTATCACTAATTGGATTGATGAATTGTTCATATAATGGCTCCCTGATGGGGAGACTGATATACAGCCTGTAAAGCAAGTCACTATTTATCCTGACAATGACTCCAATTAAACATGGATGACCTGCAACCTTAGGTGGATCATACGGAATAAAGATTATCCTCACCCAATCGCAGGGAATTGTACATCCTTCTGATTAATGTACAGCTTCAGTGTGATCGAAAGTACAGATAATTATGGGATATATTACTGGGTTCGTTTAATCTCTCCATCCCTCCGTCAATTGATTGAAGCCATATTTCTACCCTGTTGTTTAGATGTGATCCATAACCACTGTCTTTAGTTAACCCTTTCATTTCTATGCATTGATTTACTTCAAAACTGTTGCACAACATCTTAGTAACTATATCAGGGCTAAAAAAATTTGCATTTTTTGCAACTAACAGAAATAAGTTTGATAATTTGAAGTGCTGAACTAACAAGAAAACTGAAATAAAAGCTTGCAAACTTGCAAAACAAAAGTTGCATCTTACAAAAGCACATAAAATAACTAAAAGTGAAACTAAAATTAAAGCTGAAAATATAAAAATAAAAGCTAATTAAAATCTTAATAAAACCTATAATAGTATATAAATAATTCTAAAATAACACTGAATTGAATTGTGATTTTCATATGTATAATGGCAAGTCATCACAAAGCAATACAATATTTCTTTCTCTCTTTGTGCAAGGTTGACTGTGACAAATATCATTTGAGTAGGACATGCTTTCCAGATGCTTTTCTTTTAGTTTTGTTGCATGACAGATGAAACCAAACAATCCCATGTCTCACTTTCCTTCTCTCTCTTTTCTCATGACTATAGTGATCCCAGGGATGATTGTTCCTCCCATGTAGGGGCTCCTGGGCTGAAGAGACACATTTGATTTCAGCTCTCATTAGAGATTCTACGCTCTGAGCTGAAGGCAATTTCTGGTGCAGGAGAAATGAAAACTGAACTTTTAAAACTCAGGCCTTTTGACAAAGGAATCTCATTTTATGGGAAGAAAGTATATGTTTGTTTTTGTTTTTAAGCTAATTTCTGGACTGCTCTACTGAAGGACTCCCCTCCCCATGTTTTGCCCATGCAGAAAGGAGAGATGGATCTCCTTTTCATTTTATTCATGGGCTTTTTTGATGAATTTAATGATCACATGCCTTTTTTTACAGACTGTATCACACAAACATGACACTTTAGGAGCAGGTGCATCCCTAATGTTGCAGTTACGGGGCAACAGCACAGATCTCTGTTAATACTGACCAGTTTTTATATGAACAGACACATTCGCTGAAAATCCAAATGAGAATATTTAGGCCAATTGTTTGAATACAGAGAAGAAGAAGGGAGGGTTTTTTGTCCCAGAGAGAAGCCAACAAATAGTTTGCCATAATGTTGTTTGTTTTCGTACAAAGTGAAATTGTAGCGCCATACTCACTTCCCTATAATTTCTTTTTGTTTTTGTTTTTTTATGAAGCATCTGGGTACCAGCTGGTTTGAATGGCTATGATGTAAGAAAGTTATTTAAGAGTTATTAAACGCTGTCATGCTGTAATTTTTCAATGTCCAGATTCATCCTCAAAGAGAAGAAAAAGCACCCCAGTTTCCACAACAAATCAGTATTTATGTTCATGCAAATATTTGCTGCTAAATAGAGCAGAGATATGCAGTAAACAGTTGGACTGAAGGAAAGAGCCCTCAGTTGCAATGCCATTTAATAAAAAAAAATAAAAACTTTTGAATTTTATGTGTGCTCAAGGAATGTGAGGATTTGTTTTTGCTTTTAATTAAAATGTTTGCTTTGTCTATGAAAAATGAAACTGTGATATATATATTTTAATGTGTTTGGTTTGCTGTGTTCAATAGGTTAAATGAAGTATGCTATTTCAGAGCCGACTGTTAAAACAACCCATTTTTCCTTTTTGTGTGTTTCTTTGGCTTGTTTTGGGGGACATGACTTGAATTAGCTAAGTATTTTCATGTTTAGACAGCACTGTATGAAGAATGCTTTCCAAATGTGTCAAACACCTAACATACAGCAGTTTTATTGGCTCACTTTGGTAGTCGTCTATTTTTGTACATATACTTTCTGTTGCCAAAGTCTTTGTTTTATTTGTATTTATCTCAGAATGGCTTAAGGCAGCTCAATAACAATGATGTTCAGTTCATTGCATAAATTACATAAAATCTCACAAACTTCAGCAAACACAAATCATGGATTCTGGACAAAAAGAGGGGACTCTCTGTAAAATATCCATATAAATAATGTATGTATATCCAGATTTTGTATATTGCTTTTCTCCCCAAATTTACTTTGATTGCGTAAGGTTTGTCGTGATTGTTTGTCCATCTGTTCGCTTTCATCACCGGCATTGTCTTTATTGTTAATGCATTTGTTTGAATTTAGATTCATGTTTTATATCATGTCAAGCTTCCAATTATTTTTTTTAAGTAAGTTCTATTCATAAAAAGCCATTGTCTATTTTTGTATAATTTGTAAGTTAAGTTTTCCTTTTGAATTTTTTTAATGTATGGCATAAAAGTAGCATCTCACAGCATTTAATTATGTAGATTTTTTTTTTATTATATATATAAAGATATGATGAATATATAAATCTATATATATGTATATCCAGATTTTGTATATTGCTTTTCTCCCCAAATTTACTTTGATTGCGTAAGGTTTGTCGTGATTGTTTGTCCATCTGTTCGCTTTCATCACCGCATTGTCTTTATTGTTAATGCATTTGTTTGAATTTAGATTCATGTTTTATATCATGTCAAGCTTCCAATTATTTTTTTTAAGTAAGTTCTATTCATAAAAAGCCATTGTCTATTTTTGTATAATTTGTAAGTTAAGTTTTCCTTTTGAATTTTTTTAATGTATGGCATAAAAGTAGCATCTCACAGCATTTAATTATGTAGATTTTTTTTTATTATATATATAAATATATGATGAATATATAAATCTATATATTTTTTTTTAGGCTTACAGAACCTGTACTATTGTAATAATATGCATGGGCTCTTCTTGATGGTTTTATTTCGCGCGTCGAACCTAGAAGGATGTTTTCGATGAAGTTTGAATCTGTTCTTTTTAATCTTTTCTTTCATCTTTTTTTATCTGATTATTTATGCCTGCTTATAGATCTGTCTATTCCATTATCTCTCACACGTATATCAGTACCAGCAGTATAGATGCCTTAACAATGCAAACCCATAAGCGTACAATCACTTGTACAGACTTCACAACCACCACTACCAATAACTGTTGCCACAGAGTTACTTAAGGGATTTCTTTCCAGATAAAAAGCACAATTTGGTCTGGTTTACTTAAAGCAAGGAGGGTTAAATGAATTATTATACCTTTTTCTGTTGTTTGTATTATGAAGGAAAATGAGAGGGAACATGAAGGATTATAAAGAGAGACTATATGATTTATTTTTTATGTGTTGCTAGTGCGATGGGTTGCACTTTCTCATTAATTTAAAGCAAAAGGCTGCCTTTTTTCATTCGTTTATGTCTGCTGCGTTCACAAAAGGGGGAGAAGCTCAAAGCCATATTCTACAGTGTCTCCGTTCGCTCTGAAGTGGATGCTCACTTTAGCTGGAGGTGCATGCAAACCTGCATGTTTTGGGTCGTGCCACAGCACTTTGTAAGGTACCAGTGATGAATTTCTCACCCTGAGCAAAGTGACTCGATGTCAGAGCACAATGCCTTGACCCCAGAGCTGAAGTTTTGACTCCCAGTCTGTAACGCTGTGACTTGAGTCAAAATTTACTGTCAATGATCGGTCTTCAGGGCTCTTTCATGAATGGTTTAAGTGCTGTCTCCTGTAATGTGAGTCTGCAAACTGCCATCTAACAGAAAAATGGCTTTTAATATGCTGATGTGTGAGGACTATTTATCAGAAATGACTGACCATTCATGATGTTTTTCTTTTCCATATTTGGCTGTTATGCGATGGTTACTTTGTTAGCGGCTCCATCGCAATGAATAAGTTGGACTCCTTATAAAATGACAAGCATTTGATAGAACACAAGACTCGAACCAAAAAGCTGGTCTCCTTCTTTTCTGCCTCCTATTCTTGGGTTTGTTTCAATTTTGTTTTTTGTAGTTTTTTTTTTTGACTGGATACACACTGAACCGTTCTATTGATAGGAAAACTCAAGACAAAAACTACTGTATAGATTGTTATCATTTTTGATGAAAGCTGTAAAATAACTTTTCAAAGTGCACAATATTAAATTAAAGTTACTTCTTGTCTCTGATATTTTTTTTTTCGGAGTGTCTTTTGTCTTCCTTGAGCCTTTCTTCCAGAAGCAGGTGTTTGGGGGCATGTTAGGAAAATAGATGTTACAAAAGTAACCCAGCATGTTATTTTTGTGCCGTCTTATTGCCAACAGATGTCTGATTGTACGTTATCTCTGGAGAATGATCTCTCCTTGGGCCCAGCCCACTTTCCTTCTACCCCAACCCACCAATTCCCCTTAAAGTAGCACATTTTAATTAGACCCATTCATTAAATTATTATATACCTGATAGCATAATGAATGTGGGCTCCGACTTTCGCAAACATTATAATGATGGGCTCCTCAACTTATTAATTGAACTGCGCCTTGCATTTAATTGACTCATCATTTGCATTTACGGTCATCAGCAAAAATTAATCTCTCTCTTTTTTTAGTTTGCATGTTTAATTTAAGATGCTCTTGATCTGATTAGCTTGTAAAAGTCACTGGCAAGATTCTGCTGACCCGACTGCATGAGGGCAAACTCCACCTCAGCTTAAAAGAGAGCTTCACCTGACCCTGAAACATTAGTGAAATGCGAGTTTGAATCGTTAATATCGTGAGCCATTAAATCAAAATCTGGCACATGGTTTCAGTGGAAATTGCTGTTGTTTTAAAGCCAGAATTGGTAGTTGTCTGTTTGCTAAAATAAAGAGAAGGCCATTTTTTTTTAAATGTTAGATATAGGTATAAATAGCCTTTTGTTTAAAGATAGGAAATTATTTGCTTATTATGTCTACACCTGTAGGTCCAAAGTTAAAGATGTTTTAATGTTTTTGAAAAAAGCCTCTTGTGCTTACCAAGGCTGTATTTATTTGATCAAAAATACAGTAAAAACAGTAATATTGATGAGTATAATTACAATTTAATAATAAGTATTTTCTATTTTTAATATATTATTATTATATTCTCTCTCTTTTTCCCTGTTCGGTCAGACATGCCACCGGGTTGATTCTAAATCAAGTCTGATCTTTGAATTATTTATATTGCCACCTAGTTCTAATGTACAAGTGTTTTGGATTCGCTAATTGTCAGTTCAATAATGTCATTATTTTTGTACAGCCGGCTGCCGTATGGAGGTAAGATGGCAGAGCTTTGGACAGCCATTAGCTAATGGAGTATTGAGGGACACGGCCGCCCCCCTCACCCCCTCAACCCCCAATCCTTCAGTCTACACCCTGCAGTGAGGCACTTAACAAACAAAGCCTGCTTTGAACATTAAACATCACAAGTGAAGGATTACTTCTCTCTCCTTCTCTCTCTCTTACTGTGTCTTTTTCTCTCTTTCTGTCACTCTTCCGACTCTCTCTTCGTCACGGATCCCAGGGGAGGACTGTCTGGAAGCTATAATGTAGAGGAATGAGTGATAGATGACAATTTGAACAGAGGTGTGTGTGCATCTCTCTCTACTTGTCATTGTTGACATTCACTGACAGAAACTCTATAAAGCAAATCAGCCTCTTCCTGCGTTAATGAGTGAGCTGATTGTTTTTATATGGCACTTATAAAGCTGACACATCAGAGCATGAGTGCTAAGCATACAAAGGAAAATGTATATTTCTCAGAGGTTGCTCCTTTAGTTCTCAGTAATGCCATTTAAGTAGCATGTTGTTTCAAAATTCATCGGAAGAAATAAAAACTGTCACAAATGAGAAAATTGTGGGTGTAGAGTATAAGCAATAAAATTAATGTGGATACCAAAGCTCGGAAAATTTGGTTGAAAGAAGATCAATTTAAAACACATTGATGTCTAGGAGAAACAATTGAGATAAAAGTCCTCATAAGATTATATTGAAAAAAAAAGCACTGCCAGGCAAGGGCATTATGCTCACTTGACTTGACTACGTTATAATAATATCATATAAAATTAATTTAAATAATATGTTACATTGGCAATACTGTAAACATCCATGCTTTCCAGATATTCCAGCCAGCAGGTCCTGATGTAATCCATACAACATTATTGCATATCATTCAATTATTAGTCATGCAGGGAATGTTTACTGCACAGACACCTGCTCAAAAACCTTTCAGATTGTACCTTAAGATAAAGACTAATACATGCAGGAACTACCTCAGCCCAAAGCAAATAAATAAATTAATAAATAAAGCAGATCGTCTCTAGCTCTTCCCATGAGCAGGGATAGAGGGGGAGAGGAGAGCTGAAAGGCATCTTTGAGAGGGAAAACAGGGGTCCCACTGGGGAGCTTGGGGAGAACAGAGAAAAGGAGAAAACAAGGAAAGAGCAAGACAAAGTTGACGAATTGAAAAGAGGAAAAAATTTGAATGAATAAAAAGCCACAAGAGAGAAGAAGAGGACACGATACAGAAAGATATGGAGAGAGAGCGAGAGGGTCCTCAGTCCACAGAGAGACGAGAGAGATACGGGAGATCAGAGAGGGATGTTCGATGCGGGAAGGCGCCAAAAGACAGAAGGAAATGCTGCCTGGTACCTGAGCGTGGGGGTACAGGATGGGGGGGTGGCCCTCCCGGGAGACGCAGGCCTGTCATCGCACAACACAAAAACACTGTA